GAATCATTCAGTGTATTCTCATTATCAGTTTGTAATTTCGTACGTTTTGGACGTTTTTTTCGTCGTATTTCGTCGTATTTTTACGTCTTGCCTCGAGACAAGATATCCTTGCGCATGCAACCCACTGCTAACCCTAACCCTAAGATACAAAACAGCAAGCAACCTAGTGAGAGACATCAAGAAGTAATTATTGCACTGTTTTTTTCCAGTTTTACGTCCGTCCGCGGAGCTGCTTTTTTCGTCTGTCTGGCTGCGCATGCGCAATGCTCTGTTTTTTCGAGGAAAAACGTCCAAAACGTACGAAATACTGTGCATAACTTTTCGTAGGATTTCATACGAACTGATAATGAGAATATTTTGAATAATTTCATATTTAAAGAACTTTCATAAGTTTAGATTCCGAATATGACCAGATTTTTCCTTTAATTGAAGCCTGGAGATAGTTGGAGTTTTTTGGGGTTTCTGATCCTTCCTCTGTTCTGAATCTGCCGGGACGTCCCATCCTGGACGGGATGCTGTCCTCCATGTTCAGATGTTTGATCTGATGACGTTTCCCAGAGCGATGGGCAGAACCAGCAGCTGATGTCTCTCTGACTTGGCCTTGTCTTTTCAAACACCTGCTGCAGTCATTAAAGAAGGACCCAGCTTCTGGTGTAACGCGTGTTTTGTGAAAGGAGGAAGTTAAATTACAGATACGTGAACAGACAGCAGAAAGCTTTGGTAGCCGTGTTAAATTTGTCCGCAGAAAGCTGTTATGTTTGAGCTTCGCTTCCTCAGTGTTTCTGGTTTCAGCCAAACTAGAGCTGCACAACCAGAAGCAGCTTCTGGTTTCTACCTGCAGCAGACAGAAGTTCCCCTGATGAACCATCAGCTGCTGATGATCAGAGCTGCAGCAGCCTGCCGTCTGACTCTGACTGATGCTGCTTTAAAACATCTCAGAAACAAAAGCTATAATCTGCCGTCCGATTTGTCTTCTTTCTGCTTATCGAGATGTTTTCAGATCCACAAACATCCTGTGAGCAAAAAAAAAAAAAAAAACCTCAGTGAACCCAACAACACCTCCCTGCTTCCTCTGCAGGGCGGCCACTCCTCCCCCTCCACCTCCTCCTCCTCTGAAAACAGCAGCTCTCAGCTGTTGCAGCAGCTTAGTTGTGAGCGAGCAGAGAACAGGTGAGTTTGTCTGCAGCTGGATGGAGATCTGCTGAGAAGATGCTGCCAGGCTGGAGGGCCACCGTGCTGCTGCTGCTGCTGCTGCTGCAGGCCTGGGGGAGTCAAGCTCAGAGTGGAGATGGAGACTCAGACATAGGTGAGAGCGCCTGAACCGCAGCTGGGCTGAATCCTTTTTATCTAAACTACTGAGAAATCAAACAATAATGATGCTGATCTGATATAATTAGAAGGACCTGATGAGTTTAGATCCTCCTGTGGAGTAAAGTAACACAGCAGCAGCTTCAGGCTGCTGATGAAATAATGTTCAAAGGGGTTTTTGTTGAGATTTTATCGGGTGTCACCTCGAGTCGCGCTCTTGGGGGTGTGAAAGGTCCTGCTTCAGTCAGGAGCTTTGTTCCTGTAGAGATGATATCACCGTTTCCTCTCAGCGACGTGTTGTTCTCTGCTGATGCCCAACATTTCTGCTTCAAACCTGAGTCAGAACGTCCATCCAGAGAGCGGTGACCGACATGAGCAGAGCTGCCAGCTGCAGGACCAAACCTTCAGGGATTCAGACGCTTTGGTTCCAGACGCGTTTCTGAATCCTTCAGTTCAGACATAAAGGCTGTGCTGCAGAGTCGAGCCGTCAGAAAGAAAACAGCGTAGGAGGAATCAACACATCAGACCACAACCAATGAGCCGCGGCGCTGCAGCCACAGGGGGCATCGACCCATAAAACCAGAACTTTCATATTACAGCCCAACACAGACTAAACGCTCCTTTTAGACTGCAGCTTGATAAAAGGATCAGATCTGGATTTTTATTTCATTTGAATTAAATTTCAACAATTTAGATGAAGAAAGAAATGAATTCTGCTCCCCGGTCGCTGCATAATGGCAGCCCACTGCTCCCCACACTGGAAAAATTTAAATCTTACTAAGTCATTGTTTCTTAAAATAAGTGCATTTTTTCTTGGATTGAGGAGGTAAAAGAGACATTTTGCCAATGGAACAAGAAAAATTACACAACACACAATTGCATGGTCTTATATCAAGTGCATATTATCTAATTATCTTTTTTTAAGAGTAAAATTACTCATTTACCTACTCAAATTAAGGGTAAATACACTTAATTTAAGAATTTTTTTACTTATTTCTAGATCGTTTTTGCTGTGTAATACTACTACAATGCAAAGGCATGTCTTAAAATCAGTAAATAATACCTTAAAACAAGTATTTTGCCTTTATTTTCAGCAGATAAAGGAGTAAAAATAGTCATTCTATTGGCAAACTATCCTATCTCATTTATCTACTCAAATTAAGGGTAAATACATTTAATTTAAGAAAATTTTACTTGTTTTTTAGATTGTTTTTCCAGTGCAAGGGGATGGGTTAAAAGCAGAGTTCATTTAGTTCACTGGAAAAGTAAAAATTTCTTAAATTAAGTGTTTTTACCCTTGATTTGAGTAGGTAAATGAGGTAGTTTGCCAACGGAATTAGTATTTTTACTCTTAAAATAAGATAATTAGATATTATGCACCTGAAATAAGACAAACCAATTTTGTTTTGTTATTATAAGTCTAAATTATCTCTTTCCATTGGCAAAATGTCTCTTTTACCCGTTCAATCATCCAAGAACAAATGCACTTAATTTAAGAAAAAATGACGTATCTAGATGTCGATTTTTTCTAGTGTTGCTCTGTACTTCTGACAGTAACCAGTGGCGGATCTAGACCAAATGTACCAGGGGGGCCAGGAGGGGCCAGCGTGTTTTCATGGGGGCACAGAAAAGAATGAAAAAAAAAAAAAAACAGGCCAAGGGATTTAAATAAATTAAGATAGCTGCATGGAATTAAATTTCTATTCAGTTAGGTTTCATTAAAATTCTAAATGTCTCAATAGGTCAATATACATTCAGAATTTAGGAATTTTACTTTTTTTTTTTACTTATTTTAAGTTGAAATTACAGTTTTCTATAAAATCTGAATTAGAATTTTTTTTAAAAAACTGTTAAAATTAGCTGTAAAAAGTAGAGTTTTTTTTTTTACATTTGTTTTGGAAAAAAAAAACCTTTAGCAGATTAAAAAAAACTGGAATCCTACCTCAATACCACTTATGCTTTGTTTTAAACAGTTAATAAAACAGAATTTGTAAAGCCCATATCAGCCCATATCGTCATTAGAAGTTCTTTGAGTATTATGTCTTCAGTACAGGGGCCAAAACAGGGGCCAGGACTTGGTCTACAGGGGCACTGGCCCCCATTGGCCCCTGTCTAGAACCGCCCATGACAATAACTGACAATAAAGGTAGGAAGAGGCTGCAAACTTGGTGCCGCCGGATCAAGCTAATGTTAGAAGGATGATGAACAGGTTGGATCCTTCAGAGGCTGAATGTTTGATCAGAAGCAGAGAGAAATGATGCAGCAATAATATTTACTAATACACTGCAAAAAATCTAAATCTAGATAAGTTATTTTTTCTTAAAATAAGTGCATTTGTTCTTGAATTGAGGAGGTAAAAGAGACATATTGCCAATGGAACAAGACAATTTACACTTAAAATAAGAAAACACAATTGCATTGTCTTATTTCAAGTGCATATTATCTAATTATCTTATTTTAAGAGTAAAATTACTCATTTACCTACTGAAATTAAGGGTAAATACACATAATTTAAGAATTTATTACTTATTTCTAGATCGTTTTTGCGGTGTAATACTACTACAATGCAAAGGCATGTCTTAAAACCAGTAAATAATGCCTTAAAACAAGCATTTTTACTTTATTTTCAGCAGATAAATGAGATGTGATGATTATTTAAGTTTTTAAAATAAGATAAATATATTTCAGTGTTTGATAATGAAGTTTTATTTTGCCTTTTTTAAATGTAAATGATCTTGTTTTAATGATAAATCGTCTTACTTAAGTCCTCAAATCAAGTGGAAATACAAAAAAAACGTACTTACTCGTACTTACTTAGTAATATGTGCTTTTACACTGGAAAAACGATCAAGGAATAAGGAAAAATTTATTAATTTAAGTGTATTAATCCTTAACTTCAGTAGGTAAATGAGATAGCTTGCCAATGAATTAGTATTTTAACTCTTGAAGTAAGATAATTAGATAATATGCACTTGAAATAAGACGAAGCAATTGTGTTTTCTTATTTTAAGTGTAAATAGTCTTGTTAAATTAGCAAAATGTCTCTTTTACCTCCTCAATCCAAGAACAAATGCACTTATTTTAAGAAAAAAAATGACTTTTTTCCAGTGTAATCAGTGTGTACACTGCAAAAACGTTCTGAAAATTAGTACAAATGTCTTTAAACAAGTGTATTTCCCCTTAAATTTGAGTAGGAAAATAAGATGATCTGCCAATGGAATGAGCATTTTTACCCTTAAAAAAAGATAAATTAGATATTTTGCACTTGAAGTAAGAGACTATAGTCTTTTTTTCTTATTTTAACTATAAATTGTCTTATTCCATTGGCAAAGAGTCTTACTTACCTGCCTAATTCAAGAAGAAATGCACTTGTTTTACGAAAAATTGACTTACTTAGATTTACATTTTTTGCAGTGTAGTATTAATAATAATAATTATTATCAATAATATAATTCAAACTCTAGAAGGTTACAAAATGTTGTAAAAAATTCTGCTTTCAAACCATCTAGAACATGATGATCTGAGAAGCTGAAGCCACAGGAAGTTGCTGGGTTGCTTATAAACACCCACAGGTTTAAATATCTGAGGGCAAAGATGAGTAAAATGTGGATCAAAGTGCTAATCTGTGAAAATGAAATCTAAACGTATAATTTATGAATCGGGACTTTATTTGATCCCAGATCTGCTGCATTTGTTCTTCAACGTGATCAAACCTGTTTTCTCACAGAACTTCAGCTCAGCTGCGTCTCCCACATCAGCATCACAAACAACAGTCTGACCTGCCAGCTACTGAGGCGCAGCAGCGACGAGGAAGACGAGGAACCCGAGGCAGAAAGCATCCAAAAGATGAGCGTATGGTAAACATCTCAGCTCCAGGTGAACACCTACCTGCAGCTTCTGGCTTCAGCTGTTGACAAACTTCTCTCCTCTGTTCAGCCTAGAAGTTTATGGGCATGGCAAAAAGTGGCGTTGCTTCCATGCTAAAGGAGACACGGTGACATCACAACAACTGCTTCCCACTTCGTCTGTGAATGTGACCGTGAAGAGGAAGGGAGGGGGCACGGTTTCAGCCATAGTCAACCTGCGGGACATAGGTAAATATAACCCAGAGGCCCCCATGGTGGCAGGTGATGGAGCTCATGCTGCCTCACAGACTTTAGGGTCTTTATTGGACTTTCTGTCTCAGACCAACACATTGGATTCTATAAAAACCCCTTCACTCCGATACCTTTAAATATAATACAAAACACTCTGTTTGCCCTGAATGCAGCATCTCCACCAGGTCAGACATGGTGGTGGCAGAATCATGCTGTGGGACAGAGAAGCAGGTCAGAAGAGATAAAATAATTAAATAGAGCAGAGTTCTGGGGCTCAGGGGCTCCTAAAAGCTTTGGCAGAAATTCTTTATTTAGTCAGGAGGTTAGAAATTGAATTTAATTTCTCAGACATCAAAATCTTGTAGAGGAAAATCTATCATTCAGTTCTCTGTATTTTTTTTATTTATTTCAAAATGTAAAAAAAAAAAAAATCAAAAACCTGTTGGCAAATAATTCTAAGGCATCCTATGAGACAAAGATAGGTAGCAATATCTGCTCTAAAGGAGTTTTATTTAGCCGTTCTAAAAGCAGAAAAAGCTCTTTGAACCTGAAGACCTGAGGACCAACCTCCAACACAACTTTATTTATAAAGCACTTTTAAAACAACACCATAGACCAAAGGGCTGTACGCCGATAATAATGGTAAAATAAAATAAAGTCATTCTTAAAGAAGGATATTTAAAAACAGTGAATGAGTCACAGCCTGTCTGATTTACAGCGACTGAAAACTTTCGCTCGCTTTGCAACTTCCTCCTTGGTTTCAGAAAAACCAGCAATAACTGATCTGCTGACCTGTGGGAGCGTCAGGGAGCAGACATTAACATCAGGTTGGACAGACGCTGAGGGAAAGACCATGTAAACACTTTAAAACGAATAAAAGAACTTTAAAATCAATTTAGAAATCTACTAGAAAGCAATACGGAGATAGAGAAGTGATATGTTCCATTGTGTTAGTTTATCCTTTTTAGGGTACTCAGTGCAAATAGTGTTATTGGAATCCAGGAGAAGACCTTTTTAGCAATTTAAAAAAATATGGATATTATGATGGCAAAAATGAATTTCAATGTAATAACAAGAACTTGCCCAAATATATTAAGAAAAATAACAAAAGTGCTTCTATAAGAAATTCATGAAAAACACTCTGAGAGTGAAAGAAACACATTTTTTTAGGTACAACATAACCCCAGAGGCATTAATGCTGATACTGGCACTTACTTTTTTATTTTATAAACCTAAATATAATTTTTAACTAGGCTTATTAACTTTTGAACTTTATTTTTTAACTTTTCAATGAACTTTTTATCTTTTTTTTCTTGACTTGTTAACTTTCTTTTTCAACTTAATACTTAATTTACAGAAGGTTATATGTAATTTAAGGGCTCATCTAATTGGTAAAATGCCAATTAGATGAGGGGGTGGGGGGTGGGGGGGGGGTTAGCTATTAATCTATTAATCAGCTATTAATCGCCTGGTCCATTAAATAAACACTGATTTTGCCAAAAAAAACGGGAAAAACTTCAACCAACTCCGTGCTTTTATTTCAGAAAGCAAGTGCTAGAATCATGCTTTCCTGTTTCTGTTGAAAATAAATCTGACTATCATTGGCATAGAAATGAAAGTCATCACCATATTACAAAGAAATGTGTCTAGAGGAAGTGAAGAGAGAGAAAAGAGAAAGGGGCCGAGTATGGGGCCTTGAGGTACGCCACATGAAAGAGGCGCTACTGATGACAGGAACCGCTCCAGAGCAACAGAACAGATGCCCACCAAGTTCTCCAGGCGAGTCGAGTTGGCAGCAGTTAGATCCAACATTAAAATACCACAGTGAGCAGAAGTTTAAAGGTCATTAAAAACCCTCAGCAGTGCCGACTCCATAGCGTGACGGGTTTTGAAACCAGATTGTTAGGTTTCGTGAAAGTTGTGTTTATTCAAGTATAAAATAACAAATTTCTCTCAGAGTTTTGACCAAAAAGAAAGTTTTAATATGTTCGAAATATCAGGTCGGACTTTTTAACCAGTAGTGTCACCACTGAAAACATCAGCGTTGATCAAACTATAATTTACGATGCAGGAGATCAACCCAATAAGACCTGTTTCTCAAGTCAACCTTACTTTCCTGAAGATGTTTCATAAACAAGATGTTCTAATCTGTAGATGTTCAAATCCCAGTAGACCTGCAGACAGAGAAAGTTCTAGAAAGTTCTCAGATTTTAATTGATAGGCGAGCTTAAACCCATGGTTCTGTTTTCTATCACTCCAGGTTTGCTAAAGTTTAGAGTTAGCCGGTCACATACAGTAGTAGTTCCTTCATGGCTCCCTGGCTGATCCTTGGCTAGTCCCCTACAATTCCCTTTTAAACATCTAAAATATTCTTTCTGTCATGATTTGTGGACATTAAAATCCAAAGAGAAGCATCATCTCCTGGTCAGACCCTGTAATTCAGTGAAAGGAGGGAGTCACAGTTAAAAACTATGCCCAGGAGAAGGCCGGTGGCTTGGAAGTTGGAGGGGATTTTACTGCCATTCAGCTGGCTTTTAACTGGGAAGGGCCATTTTGAATTGCTGCTACTATAACGTTAATTAAAAATGTTGGACCTGGACTAGAGGTGGGGAAGATAGATAAACTATCTGGATGTTGTTTCTGTTTGTTTTAGTGAAGCCACTCAGTCCGAAGGTTTGGAACGTGACCCTTGAGCCGCAGCTCCGCCGGGCCGTGATTTTCATGCAGATCCCCTACAGCAATGACTACCTGACTTTGGAAAACCAGCTCTTCCAGTTCAACCTGTGGACTAAAGGCAGCAACATTGTACTGTCGCACAATTTTCATTTCAATCAGAACAATGTTGAAAAGTTTGAAGATGTTTGTAGATGACTGAACTCCAGAGGATTCTTTTCTGCAGACTCAAAACATCTCGTCCCAGAACTTCCTGCCGATCGACATGCAGCACCTCCGCCAGAACTCTGAGTATGAGGTGAGAGTGCGAGCGATCCCTAATAGGGGGTGGAAGGGAACCTGGAGCGAATGGAGCGAGGTGTACACCTTCGAGATCCCTGGTGAGATAACTGGTCCAAACGTCCAGCAGATGTTTTGATCAAAGTCTGAAGGCGAACTGATGATGATCTTCTGTCCTTTAGGAGAACCGCAGTGGCAGACGACCGTGAACATACTGGTAGTGAGCTTCAGCTCCGCGGTGCTGCTGTCCTTGATCATCATCTTCTGGAGGAACAAGTAGGGCATCATGGATCTCCGTCTCATATGTTATGGATCAATTTTCTTACTAATTTTCTTCTTTTCCTCCTAAGAATCTTCACCTACATGTGGCCGAGCGTCCCGCACCCCAAACAGACTCTGATTCAGATCTGCAAACCCAACAAAGTGAGTTCTTGGAACCATCAGGTCCTCCACAGGGAACAGACCTATGGAACACCTAACCATGTCCTGATGTTTCACCAGGGCCTGCTGCTGAACCTGAACCCTGAGGTCTTCAGTTCCCTGAAGGTCTACCCGCAGGAGGAGGCCCCTTCTGAGGAGGCAGAGCCGTCGCTTGGTCCCGCTGCTGCTGGTGGGTCCCCGTCCAGCTCAGCCCAGAGCTCCGACTGCAGGAGCACCACCAGCATCAGCACCGAGGAGCTGGAGATCTCAGCCCTCCTCAGCAGGAGCTCCTCGGACGGCGAGGACAGCCTCCCGAGGGACAGCACGTCCCCCGTCAACGTCCCGCAGCAAGAAGACCAGGCTGGGAACCTTCAGCCTGACGGACTGAAGCAGTCGGAGGAGGCCTACGTCACCATGTCCAGCTTCTATCAGATCAAGTAGGAGAAGAACCGCTGGAGCAACTGAACTGATCAAACTTGTGGGAGCTGTTCCAACTGAAACATCTGACCAACTGGTAGAAGGAAGTTCTTCTGACCTTCCTCCAAACACCACCAGCTGTAACTTAATGATGGCTGTTCCCTGAACCTCACAGAATATCTAACCTTCACCCCCCCCCTATGTTTGAGCTTTAATCCGCCAGCCTAGATCTTCCACAGTGGTTTTCATGTTTGGAAGCATTAAGAAAACCAGTTCTTGGTCCATGGATTTAAGGAACGTGAGAAGATCAGAAAGAGAAATGTCCCGACGTTCATTAACCCAGGAGCTTCCTTCAGGCCTGTTCATTTATCTGGATCTGATGATTTGCTCCTCAGTGTCTGACGTTCCTCATAATGTCTGACGTTCCTCATAATGTCTGACGTTCTTCATAATGTCTGATGTTCTTCATAATGTCTGACGTTCTTCATAATGTCTAATGTTCTTCATAATGTCTGACGTTCTTCATAATGTCTAATGTTCTTCATAATGTCTAATGTTCTTCATAATGTCTGACGTTCTTCATAATGTCTAATGTTCTTCATGTCTGATGTTCCTCTCACGATATTCTGCTGAACCCCCCCGAGCTGCTCTCTGACTGGACCCCTTTGGTCCGTTCAAACTGGAGAACCTTGTAGCGTTCCCAAACCCATGAACCTGAGAACAACAATCCTTCCTTCTTGGTTATTTTTTTTTCTTCACACTAACAGGATTCTGCAGATCAAAGAAAAGGTCACATGTTTGAAACTGGCCAATCAGAGCTGAGCATTTCCTCAGACTCCTTCTGGACCTTCTGTCAATACATTCATTGATTTTCTTTTTATTTGATCTGAACCTGAATGGGTCGGATTAGTTCTGGCTGCTGACCCGGACCTACTGACATGTTAAATATGTGTTTTTATATCTACACCTTCTTTGAGGACCCCCTTACTGACATGGAGTAGAACCCCTCCTGATGGTTCTGGACGTTGAACGTCTAGGAGGATGTAGAAGGTTCTGCTTTTCTTTGGACTCTCCATGATGCTGATTCCAGACAGGAAGGTTCTGCTGAACTTTCTGGGTTCAAACCTGGTGAACATGGATGCTGAAGAACCTCAGTGACATTAAAGAACCAAAGACAGAACCAGAAGGTTCCTTTTATTTCACTGGAACCACAAAGATGTTTGAAAGTCTCCTTTAGTTCTGGAGAACTTTCATGAAGTTCTGTACACACAGAAACGGACCCTAAAAACATTCAGAGGAACCTTTGAAAAGAACGTCAAAGGTTCCTCTGAGGTCAGTAAAATGTTAAAAATAAAAAGTTCATCCAGAGAAAACGACCCAAGAATCACCGGGTTCTGATATGTTCTGCTATCTAAACAACAGCCTCAGAACCCAAACATCAGGTCCGATCACCAGAATCAGTCAGCAGGAACACCGAAGGAACCATGTTTCCTTCTCACTACAACTTCTAGACTTTATCTGTCTAGAACCTCCAACCAAACCAGAGGAACCAGAAGCTTAGAACCTCCTAACTGACCAGTCAAATCAGTGACCAATGATCCCATCAGGCAGTGGGGGAACTAAGACCAGAAAGTCCAAATGGATCTCTGAAAATGAGAAAAGAATCTCTTTTAAACTGTCCAGAACATTTATCTAAGTAACCAGGACCAGAAAAAGCCCTGATCCTACCAGAACCTTCTTGTAGAAGTCTATGGAGAACTCTGTCAACAGGACTTTCTGGGTTTAGCTGAAGGCTCCTACCAGAAGATCTGGTTCCGTTCATCTCCAGGAGTCCAGAATGAAGCTGGTTCCATCCTGCTGTTGGTCGGTAAAGTTCACCAAATCTGTAAATGTTGCTGTTTCCATGGAAACCAGCATGTTGGTTTAAACCTTGGCCCTTTTTCTTCCTCCTGAACCTTCTGGGTCTGTCTTCATGTCAGGTCTCCTCTTGGTTTTTCTTCTGGTTCCGGTTCTGGAACCAGCAGATGTTCTTTAAAAGCTGCTCTGATCCGAACCCGTCTGCACTTGGACTCTCAGAACCGAACCTCCTGCTGCTGCAGAGTCTCGTTTGTCCTGCAGCGCTGAAACGCGTCACATCTGAATGCGCTGAGTAACCTGCTGGGGGACTTTCTGTTGCTATGGTTACCTGTTCTGATTGTGGTCGGATTGCCGTCATGGAAACTCAAAACACACAATGCTGCTGCTGTAAAATCGGACCCGACCTAAACCTCAGGATCAACCAGACTAGAATGTACGCTTGAGCTGCGGCTGCTTGGTTCTGCTCCGTTTGTATAAAGTTCTATTAAAGTTCTGTACATCCTGTTTAAACCTTTATTTAACCATTTTACCTGTTTATGCACAATAAAGTTAATCTATCAACTGAAGGTCTTGTGGTTTCTATAGAAATCAGCAGCTAGAAGTTCCAGCAGAGCTTCAGATCCAGAGGATAGCCTCTGATCATCAGGTGGTTCTGAGCTGGTATCGGTCCGCTGGCATCAAGGTCGCTGTCAGAGCTTCCAGGCGTTCCTCATCATCAGGATGAAGTAGGCGTCGCTGTCGATGGAGGCGCTGACGCCGCTGTAGTAGTTGACAAACTCCTCCTTGGTCACCTGTTGGTTCAGGAAAGGACATCTTAGAGTGGGCCATCAGAACCAGAACCAGGTTCTATCAGATGTTCTCAGAGGTAGAACTGGACCATCTGAGGAGAGATTTTCCTCCCTGGTCTGAGGACCCGTCCATGCGGTACTGCTCACGGTGACTCAGATCTTACTGGCATACTGACGTAGGTTCTGGTTTCTAAAATCTACAATCAATATCGGACCTGTTGCTGAAACGGCATCTGGTTATAATTTTTGATCTGAGTCAACGTGACTGATGACAGGAAACACAGGAGACAATTAATATCTGAGAGGTTTCTGTCTTCTGCTGTGTAGAAATAAACCAACAAACTAAATTAAAATCTAAAAATGAATCAATGATTTTTATTGATTTGTTTTTGGTCACAGATTTATTCCTGATTTTCCGTCTGTCCTGTTTTACATGCCGACCTTCAGACTGGATTTTATCATTCAAATAAAACCTGCAAAACAAACATGAAACCTTCAACATGCAAGCTTCTATCAGCTGCAGTTTATTAAAGAAGCATAGAGATTTTCCGTCTAGATTGGTTCACTTCTGGAAAACAACATCAGGCTTAAACCATTCAAAAGGTTCCTGAGTTTTTTCCTTATTTGGGCCTTTTTTTATTTCCTGCTCATTAACATTAACTCTTACAACCCAATTCCACCAGAAATACCGAAAACTATTCACACCCCAAGCAGATCTAAAACGATTTTCATTCAACCAATCAAATATTTTCGTTTTTTCCTGAAACAAATCTCACTATAAACATAGAGCAGCATTTATGTTTTTATTGCAGATATTAAAAATGACCTGCAAGCTTCTCAGTAACCAATGAAATCCTAACCCTTTCTACTTCACTGAGCTCTCAGCCAATCAGAGCTGCTGTCTGATGACAGAGCAGCTCCTGGAGATCTCCTCAGATACTTGAATTATCTTTGTTTGGGGAGAAACTCCTCGCCATCACCCTAATCTGCAGCTTCTCTATGGATTCTCTTCCAGATTCGTTTCTGGACTCTGATTGGTTCTTTTCAGCACATTAGTCCCTCCAGAGGAAGATGACCTTATATGGAGTGAATTTTGTTACATTATTGTTCCAAGCGAAGAAACGGTTTAATGTAAATAAAAAAAATGAAAATATTAAAAACATTTTGTTAACTAAAATACAGGAAACTGCAATCCAGAAATTAAACTTTGAAAAAAATTAAATCAAAAAAGGTTTTTTAGAGAGTAACTGTGTTGTTTCCTTGGATTTTGTTTATTTCAATTTTATTTTTGAAATGCCTTTTTTCATAATTTATCATTTTTAATTTTATTTTCTCAAAATTTGATTAACAGATTTTGTATTTGGATTTTTTAAATTTTCAGGTTCAATTTCATAAACTGCATTCTTTTCGAATTGCGTTTTCCAAATGACGCTCTATTCATTTCTGGGGGCGGGATTTTGTCTGGAGTACGGAGTGAAGATGCATTTCTATTGGTCCGCTGGAAATTAGCGACATTTACATTGGTCAAGAGAATGCTTTAGGATTGAATTTAAAGTGAAGAGAATGAAATCTGAAAAACATCATTTTGAAAAAACAATCTAAAAGAATAGATACTTTAAAAAACAACAAACAATAAATCTGAAGAAAAAATTGGAGTAAAAAATATATTTGAAAATGTTTTTTTTGAAAATATGGGATTTGTAAGAATAAATAAATAAAAAATAAATAAAAGAAATATATTTGAAACAAAAAAATCTCAGAAAACAGCAAAGCCTCTCACAAAACCTTTTTTAATTTAAATCTTTTTCAAAGTTTAATTTCTTGATAGAATTTTTTTCCAATTCTGATTTACAAAGTCTGTTTTTGCTCGATAAAAATAATGGAACCAAATTGAGGCACCAGCTGAGTTGTGGAGTCGGCGGCTCTTTGACGTGAGGATGATTGCAGGAAGTGACTGAGAACCTGATGATGAAAGCAGCTGCAGAGGTGAGAAGACAGAATGAATCGATCCAGGCGGTGTGAAGTCGTTTATTAGAACTGAAACAGAACCTTCAACAGTTTCTTACTCAGTTAGTTTAGTGATTCAGAACTAAACTAGCTGTCTGTGGTTCTGGTCCGGTGGTTCCTAATGTAGACGTTGGTGTCGATGGAGGAGAAATAATTGAGACAGAAACACAGCAGAACTTTCTCACCCGGAAACTTTGAAGCTTAAATAGATCTAAGAGAAAAATACCCATTTAAAGATGATCAGAACCATCAGAACATCTCGGATCCAAAGAGGACGTCTCGTACCTTTCCATCTTTGTCGTAGGGTGAATCAAAGCTGTCCAGGAACGTCCTGAACACCTGCTCCTCCGTCCACTCCCCGTTCTGATATTTGGGGTGGTACTTGGCGTTGTAAACCCCCCTCAGGTCGTCCACGGTGACCACGCCGTCTCCGGTTCTGTCCAGCTTCCGGAACGCCTGCATGACCACCTCCTTCCTGGCTTTGGACATTGGAGGCTGCGGAAAACAGAGGGAGGAGCCTTTGGGAGTGGCGGTCTAGTAGCTTCGTGAGACCATCCTGATCTCGCGAGCTTTCAAGGTTTCACTCGCAGATCAGTCTGGAGACTCTCCGTTGAAGAAAATTTGGAGCCGTTCACAAAACGAACGTCCAATCAGCGTTGGCTTTGAGGCGGGTTGAGGTGAACATGGCGGCTTCAGCCGATGAAACTAGCGTTAGCGTGGCTATCGAGCAAGTTTTATGGGAATTACAGAGTATTTCTTCAATGAAAGAAGAGCAAAACACTGCTCTGGAGGCTTTTCTCAGAGGAAAAGATGTTTTTGCTCTTCTCCCGACTGGTTTCGGCAAGAGTAGCCTGGCTTGTGGTTGTGTTTTCGTCGTCGCTCTGTTAGTACGTCATTTGGCCGTTATTTGGCCCGTCTATCACCAACATAGGCCAATCAGCTAACCAGTATTTTCGCCCCTTCCCAAAATCACTTCAACGGAAGGTTTACAGATGGATATGCGGAGCAAATGAGTCCCACTCCCACAGACTGCCACTCAAGATCCCTGAGCAAGAACTTTAACCCCACACTGCTCCCCGGGCGCCGCATAATGGCAGCCCACTGCTCCCCAAGGGGATGGGTTAAATGCAGGGTTAACTTTCTCCAACATGAGATCAATAAAGTTCAACTATTATCAACTCAACTCAGGTTTCTGTTGGACATTTTAGAACTAAACCAGGGGAACCAGTTGGTTCTGAGGTTCAGCAACAGGAACTGGGTTTTACCAAGCAGTCTGGAACATGTGGCTCAAAGGTCCAAGTTTAAAAACTAATAACAGGACACCAATAAAACAAGAATCACATCAATTCTTTAAGTTTAGCAATATTTTCATGTGAGAATAAAACCCTTCCACATTTTTAAAGTAAATCTTTAAAACGAGGTTCTGATTGATGGTTGGTACCAGTTTACCCTCAGAGTGATGAGGAACTCGTCAAAGTCGATGGTTCCGTTCCCGTCCCGGTCAAAGAGCTGGAACAAGGCGCTGGCCTCGTCCTTCTCGATCAGCAGACCGTAGTCGTTCAAACCCTTCAGGAACTCCTTGAAGTCCAGGAGGCGGTTCTCGTTGTCGTCCATGATTTTAAAGGTTCTGATGAAGAAAACAAGAACCGTGTTTGGACCATTTTACTCACCAGAACACTGCTCACCTCCACTGCTCATATGTGATGATCCTCCATAGATACTGGATCATTTTCTCCTGTTCAGCTGGTAGCTGATGACAGTTCAACTGAAAACTGCTTGTTCTCCAGATGGTTCTGATGGAGGAACTTCATCTGGGTTACATCAGCTTCTACCAGAACCAATCATTAACCAGACTCTCCATTATCATGCTGTTTAAGGAGAGCTGACCATCTCATAAAAGACGAGCTACCATGGACAGCGCCCCCTGCTGGAAGGAACCAGGCTCTTCCTGGTGGCCTTCAGGATGCAGAATGTTTGGGATTTGTTCACCGAAACAGTTAAATGTCCCCCTGAGTTCCAGCTAAAGGTACCAGAGTAACACTTCCTCTAAAAGCAGGAAGTAATAAAGAGCTTTTTATTTTATCTCCTCTTCTATCATGCATACGTAAAGATATGGAGGCATTATTACTGTTTGTGGTTTTACTTCTCATCTGTGATGCTGTTTTAAGCTTCATATACCGTAACTAGAACCCACAGGGTTCTGCAGTTAAATGCTGACCTGATAAGCAACAGGATCTGAGTACTATAGTACTACCTGAACTCAGTGGCTGGAAACCACAAACAGCAACAGCAAGAAAAAAACAACAACATCCTGCAGCAGCAGAGAGTCAGCAGAGCTATGAGAGACTAACCATGCAATACACAGGTACTACAGAATACACAGGTACTACAGAATACACAGGTACTACTGTGGTATTCTGTAGTACAGAGGTACTACAGAATACACGGGTATTATTATTACTACAGGTAGTAAAGTACTAGTATATATATATACTTTAGGTACTACAGGGAGTAAAGTACTAGTATATGTACTCTTGGTACTACAGGGAGTAAAGTACCAGTATATGTACTCTAGATACTAAATTTAGTAAAGTATTATTTTATGTTCTCTAGATACTACAGGTAGTAAAGTACTAGAATATGTACTCTAAATACTAAATTTAGTAAATTATTATTTCATGTTCTCTAGATACTACAAGTAGTAAAGTACTAGTATATGTACTCTTGGTACTACAGGTAGTAAAGTATTAGTATATATACTCTTGGTACTACAGGTAGTAGAGTACTAGTTTATGTACTCTTGGTACTACAGGTAGTAAAGTACTAGTATATGTACTCTAAATACCAAATTTAGTAAATTATTATTTTATGTTCTCTAGATACTACAGGTAGTAAAATACTAGTATATGCACTCTTGGTACTACAGGTAGTAAAGTACTAGTATATGTACTTGTGGTACTACAGGTAGTAAAGTACTAGTATATATACTCTTGGTACTACAGGTAGTAGAGTACTAGTATATGTACTCTTGGTACTACAGGTAGTAAAGTACTAGTATATGTACTCTAAATACTAAATTTAGTAAATTATTATTTTATGTTCTCTAGATACTACAGGTAGTAAAATACTAGTATATGTACTCTTGGTAGTACAGGTAGTAAAGTACTAGTATATGTACTTGTGGTACTACAGGTAGTAAAGTACTAGTATATAAACTCTAGATACTAAATTTAGTAAAGTATTATTTTATGTACTCTATGTACTGCCGGTAGTAAAGTACTAGTATATGTACTCTTGGTACTACAGGTAGTAAAATACTAGTATATGTACTCTTGGTAGTACAGGTAGTAAAGTACTAGTATATGTACTCTTGATACTACAGGTAGTAAAGTACTAGTATATATACTCTAGGTACTACAGCTAGTAAAGTACCAGTATATACACTCTAGGTATTACAGGGAATACTCGTCTGATCCTTTGGAGTACTTCAGGTCATCTTCAGGTAACAGTTGTCAGTTTCCAGGTGAGTGAATGGGTCAGTGGGCGGAGCTTACCTGCCCAGACCTTTGATCCCTGACGAGCCGCGGGTCAGACACTGCAGCCGGAGTCTCTCCACCGGATCAGAACAATCAGACAGCTGCTTCTTGGCCTTCACAGCCATCTCTCTGTCGTGTCTCGATGTTCCTGCCATGGCTGACCTGAAACACACCGACCAGCTGGTTGGTTCTGACAGCAGAACTTCAGAACGACCGGCTGAAGGAAAGGAGGTTCTGGAAGAGACAGAACTATCTGGGCTGATGGACGGATTCGATACTGAACAACTCGATGTTATAAATTAAACATTTCTAGAACTTTTCCTGCAGCAGTAAAACCAGCGGAATGTAGGTGGTTCTGGTTCTGTTCCATCATCTTCTTCTAACCATCAATCCTAATCATTGGAGCTTCAGAAATTATTAAACATTAAATCAGAATAAATGGATGAGTGAAAGTTATAGCTGATTCTGATGGTGGTTCTCTGAATCACAAAGAGCTATAAGATAAATCGGATCAGACTATTTTTGTTGTTCATGAAGCAACCATTAAAGGGAATTCTGAGTTTCTGGCCAGGAGAATATTTATATTTTGCAAGTATGCTGGTGAAGATTCATCCAGGTCATAGTCATGCCAAAAAAGTGACTTTGTTTCTAAGTCTGAAGACGTTTTACTAACCATCCANATGGTTGGTACCAGTTTACCCTCAGAGTGATGAGGAACTCGTCAAAGTCGATGGTTCCGTTCCCGTCCCGGTCAAAGAGCTGGAACAAGGCGCTGGCTTCGTCCTTCTCGATCAGCAGACCGTAATCGTTCAAACCCTTCAGGAACTCCTTGAAGTCCAGGAGGCGGTTCTCGTTGTCGTCCATGATTTTAAAGGTTCTGATGAAGAAAACAAGAACCGTGTTTGGACCATTTTACTCACCAGAACACTGCTCACCTCCACTGCTCATATGTGATGATCCTCCATAGATACTGGATCATTTTCTCCTGTTCAGCTGGTAGCTGATGACAGTTCAACTGAAAACTGCTTGTTCTCCAGATGGTTCTGATGGAGGAACTTCATCTGGGTTACATCAGCTTCTACCAGAACCAATCATTAACCAGACTCTCCATTATCATGCTGTTTAAGGAGAGCTGACCATCTCATAAAAGACGAGCTACCATGGACAGCGCCCCCTGCTGGAAGGAACCAGGCTCTTCCCGGAGGCCTTCAGGATGCAGAACTTTTGGGATTTGTTCACCGAAACAGTTAAATGTCCCCCTGAGTTCCAGCTAAAGATACCAGAGTAACACTTCCTCTAAAAGCAGGAAGTAATAAAGAGCTTTTTATTTTATCTCCTCTTCTATCATGCATACGTAAAGATATGGAGGCATTATTACTGTTTGTGGTTTTACTTCTCATCTGTGATGCTGTTTTAAGCTTCATATACCGTAACTAGAACCCACAGGGTTCTGCAGTTAAATGCTGACCTGATAAGCAACAGGATCTGAGTACTATAGTACTACCTGAACTCAGTGGCTGGAAACCACAAACAGCAACAGCAAGAAAAAAACAACAACATCCTGCAGCAGCAGAGAGTCAGCAGAGCTATGAGAGACTAACCATGCAATACACAGGTACTACAGAATACACAGGTACTACAGAATACACAGGTACTACTGTGGTATTCTGTAGTACAGAGGTACTACAGAATACACGGGTATTATTATTACTACAGGTAGTAAAGTACTAGTATATATATATACTTTAGGTACTACAGGGAGTAAAGTACTAGTATATGTACTCTTGGTACTACAGGGAGTAAAGTACCAGTATATGTACTCTAGATACTAAATTTAGTAAAGTATTATTTTATGTTCTCTAGATACTACAGGTAGTAAAGTACTAGAATATGTACTCTAAATACTAAATTTAGTAAATTATTATTTCATGTTCTCTAGATACTACAAGTAGTAAAGTACTAGTATATGTACTCTTGGTACTACAGGTAGTAAAGTATTAGTATATATACTCTTGGTACTACAGGTAGTAGAGTACTAGTTTATGTACTCTTGGTACTACAGGTAGTAAAGTACTAGTATATGTACTCTAAATACCAAATTTAGTAAATTATTATTTTATGTTCTCTAGATACTACAGGTAGTAAAATACTAGTATATGCACTCTTGGTACTACAGGTAGTAAAGTACTAGTATATGTACTTGTGGTACTACAGGTAGTAAAGTACTAGTATATATACTCTTGGTACTACAGGTAGTAGAGTACTAGTATATGTACTCTTGGTACTACAGGTAGTAAAGTACTAGTATATGTACTCTAAATACTAAATTTAGTAAATTATTATTTTATGTTCTCTAGATACTACAGGTAGTAAAATACTAGTATATGTACTCTTGGTAGTACAGGTAGTAAAGTACTAGTATATGTACTTGTGGTACTACAGGTAGTAAAGTACTAGTATATAAACTCTAGATACTAAATTTAGTAAAGTATTATTTTATGTACTCTATGTACTGCCGGTAGTAAAGTACTAGTATATGTACTCTTGGTACTACAGGTAGTAAAATACTAGTATATGTACTCTTGGTAGTACAGGTAGTAAAGTACTAGTATATGTACTCTTGATACTACAGGTAGTAAAGTACTAGTATATATACTCTAGGTACTACAGCTAGTAAAGTACCAGTATATACACTCTAGGTATTACAGGGAATACTCGTCTGATCCTTTGGAGTACTTCAGGTCATCTTCAGGTAACAGTTGTCAGTTTCCAGGTGAGTGAATGGGTCAGTGGGCGGAGCTTACCTGCCCAGACCTTTGATCCCTGACGAGCCGCGGGTCAGACACTGCAGCCGGAGTCTCTCCACCGGATCAGAACAATCAGACAGCTGCTTCTTGGCCTTCACAGCCATCTCTCTGTCGTGTCTCGATGTTCCTGCCATGGCTGACCTGAAACACACGGACCAGCTGGTTGGTTCTGACAGCAGAACTTCAGAACGACCAGCTGAAGGAAAGGAGGTTCTAGAAGAGACAGACCTAATCTGAGGCTGATGGAGGGATCCGATACTAAACAACTCGATGTTATAAATTAAACATTTCTAGAACTTTTCCTGCAGCAGTAAAACCAGAGAAATGTAGGTGGTTCTGGTTCTGTTCCATCATCGTCTTCTAACCATCAATCCTAATCATTGGAGCTTCAGAAATTATTAAACATTAAATCAGAAAAGATGGATGAGTGAAAGGAACAGCTGATTCTGATGGTGGTTCTCTGAAACACAAAGAGCTTTAAAATAAATCGGATCAGACTATTTTTGTTGTTCATGAAGCAAAAATTAATGACAATTCTGACCAGGAGAAAAAGTGACTTTGTTTCTAAGTTTGAAGACATTTTACTAACCATCCAGCTTTTCAGCTTTTTTTTTTTATTATTATTATAATTTTTTTTCTTTTTTACTTTTTTGGGATATATTTTGCAAGAAGAATCAAAGTTATAATTTCTGTTGGTATTTTTTTTTACCGGTTTAACTGATTCAGACCCAAAGCTCCCATGAACCCAGTTTATCTGCTGGTTCCAGAAACATTTAGTCCTGATTGACAGCAG